AATTCAGGATTCTCTCAAATGCTCCATTCTACTCTCAATACAAATATTAATCTTATGGGTCACATAAGACAGTTCTTATTTGTAAGTGACAGACCTCCTGGAATCAGTGGATGAAACAAGGTGGTTTATCATTTTCACATAACAGGAAGCCCAGAGATGCAGGTTGGGCCAGGGATGGGCCACCTCCTTTAGCACTCAGCACTCTCTCTCCTTACAGCAGGATGGCTGCTGTATGACCAAGAAAAATGAATGAAGGGTTCCTGGGTGGCTGAATCACTTAAGCCTCTGACATTGGCTCAAGTCATGATCTAGTTGGTCAAAACTTCTAGTCCAACATCGGGTTCTGTGCTGACAGCTCAGAGGCTGGAGCCTGCTTTGGATTCTGTGTCTCGTTCTTCTCTGTCCTTCCCCTGCTCGCAATATGTCTCTCAAAAATAAATAAAAACATAAAAAAATAATAGCACAATTTTAAAAGGGTATTGGGGGGGCAGTTGGGTGGCTCAGTCAGGTGGCTTTGGCCAACATCCCAGAGTTGTGGGATCGAGATCTGTGTACACTCTGCACCAAGCGTGTAGCCTGCTTAAGATTCTCTCCCTTTCCCTCTGCCCCTGTCCCCCACTTGTGTGCACTCTCTTCCTAAAATAAATTTAATAAATTAAAATCAGGATATTGGGGAATTTTCAAATTTCATATTCACACCTAAACAACAGAAGGTAAAAGAAAAAGATGGTAAAGAAAACATTTGGAGACCAAATTTAAATATACTCCACAATAATATTAAATGAAAAAGTAGTCAAGGATAACAGGATGACAGATTTAATCACTAGACTTTTTCTTTATCCTGTATGTATAATATTGCACACAACCCATCACCAGTGTCATAGGTGTTCCAAATGAGTCAAAATTTATTAGTCCTTAGTGTTTTCTGAGTTACAGATGTCTTTCCTTTGAAATTTAACTTACCTGAATATAACACTAACTTGCAAAGTTTCAATACAGATATTCTGATTCTAGAACCTTTTTAAAAAGTTTTTTAAAGTTCAGTTATTTTTCCACACTCAGTGTGGAGCCCAATACAGGTCGTGATCCCTTGAACTGTGAGACCAAGACCTGAGCCAAAATCAAGAGTTGGAAGTCTCACTGACTGAGCTGACCTGGCAACTCCTTGATTCTAGTACCTTGGGAGAAAAACTGAAGCACTGATTTTGAGATTCCATTCGTTGCTTTCTCCCTTAAAGTGACAGATCTACAAAAGGCTTGGAGTTGGAAAATATTCTCTTGGTTTTGAATAATATTTTAATAGACTATAACTTAATAGAAAAAGAACCATGACATCATACAAGTCTAAAAATGTCATCAGTAATTGCTCTAAACAGTTATTTCACAGCCATTTTCCATAATCAACTGTGTGGTGGGGCTATGTGTGCATCAGGAAAAAGGAGGTAGTAGTTAGCCTGAGGAAGATTGTGGTCTTTCCCAACCAAGTCAGTCAGGAGTAAACTTCAGTTTTGTATTACTGGGTCTGACTGTACTTTTGATGCCCGACTGATACCTATGAAGCAGCATTACAACCTCTTAACTATTCTGCCCATTTGGGCAAGAAAAGCTAATAATGAAGCCGGAGAGGACCCTCCCTTGGCAGTAGTTACAAGTTCACAGTGCCTATGAGTATCATCACCCTGGCCCCACACAGGATGCATCATAACAATGTAGTCACCATTCCCTGCTTTCTCCAGCCATTTTCAGAACTTGAGAAGTCTACCCTGCTCTCCTGAGTAAGCATCAGTATATAATTAACATTCTCCTAACACTTCAGTGTATGCAGTCAACATTCCTGACATCTGAACATCCTGTTCGAGGAGTGAGCACAAGTGCAAATGAGCAAAAAATGTTTTAGAGGCTAAATATGTGAGATTTCTAGTTATCAAACAAGATTCCCATTGTGTTGTTCATTCTTGAAAGTAAACTCATGACAACTTATCTTTTCAAATTATTCCCTGAGCAGTCCAGCACAAAATATTGTTACCTTTATCCTTACTTCTCAACTTTTCTTTTAGTTCCTAATACTTTTCACATGCTTGCTATTTTTCTAATTTCATTTAATGTAAAGGTGCAAACCATGGGTCTCATTTCAGCACAAAAGGCAGGGAGAAATAGAATCATATGATGTATACTCATGAATGGGGAGGCTGGTTGTAGAGGGTGAGAGTTTGAAATTGCATTGCTATGGTATTTCCCTTAGAGCCACTAAATACTATAGGATATACAATGGGTGGGTAACTCTCAAATTCAACTTATGAATATATATTTCCAAAACTATAGGTTTAAATATAACATGAAAATTACTACAGATGACATTCAACATACAGAGCTTAAGGATGTATGATTAGTGTTCATTATGAAATTCCCCAAAGAAGTGTGATGCACACAGGATAATAAGGCACAGGATTCATTTAGGTTTACACAAAAGCTTATATTTTACTTACTTAGATATGAGAAATAGGGTATCCTAAAAAAAATGGAATCAAAACGCAATTTCAGTGCCCAAATTTGCGTCTTTTACAAGCATACTACTTCTGGGTGTATTTTTGTTTTGTTTTTTGAGAGCACAGGTAGCAGAGAGTGGCAGAGAGAGAGAAAGAGAATTGTAAGAAGGCTCTACACTCAGTGGAGACCCCAACGTAAAGATTGACCCATGACCCTGAGCCAAAATGGAGTCAAATACTCAACATACTAAACCACACAGGCAATCCTACTTTGGTTCTTTTGATTTAAATGTCCTCTAGAACCTTCTCTTCAGTCTCCAAAATTAAGACGAATTTTTACTCATCCATGATATATAATAGCTATTACCTTTCAAAAGGAGAGACCATTGCTCACTGTCCATTTTCTCTAGTACAAATGCCATCCCAAGTAACCCATCGTTACATGAAAATATTCTCTCAATGTCCTGACCTACTGCTTCATGGTCAACTATCTGATAGAGTAATTCTTTCCTGTAGTAATCAACAAAGGTGCTCAATCGTACCAACAAATCCAGAGAAGGGGCTGTGACCATAAAGAAAACATTACAATTTACGTAAGAGTTTTAGGTTTATTCCTTGCCACTCCCTATGCTCCCAAATGTATATAGTATAGTCTATCTTAAACTTCGCATACCAGTTTTCCTGGGTATATAAGTATGACTAAGCCCCTCACCCCCATTAAAGAGGTTCCATTCACCATACAGATGCTTTCTCTGAGACCACCACTATGGTTGCCAATGAAACACATATAATGAAAGTATAACATCAATGGAATCCAAACTTGAGGTTATAAGTCATCAATAATAATGTAGTGTCAAAAAACCTCAAATAATTGGGGTGCGTGGATGGCTCAGTCGGTTAAGCATCCAACCTCGGCTCAGGTCATCTTGTGGTTCATGAGTTCAACACTCCAGTCTGGCTCTCTGCTCTCAGCTTAAAGCCTGGAGCCTGCTTCCGATTGCCTCCCTCTCTCTCCCCCTCTCCCACTAGATCTCTCTTCCTCTCACTCTATGAAAAATAAAAACATTAAAAAAAAAAAACAAACCTCAAATAATTGAGTAAAAAATGTTAACCTGGCAAGCTAAGCCAAAAGAGCATGTGACTCTTGCTCTGGGGGTTGTGAGTTTGAGCCCCATGTTGTGTGCACAGAAGAAAATAAAATCTTTATAAAATATTTGAACAGAAGATGATTAGGTCTTTCCACAGATATACTTGTACCACTGACACACCATCTCATGAGTTTTAAATAATTTTAATTTTCTGTGGAACTTAACACCTAAGATTGGTTAATCCTCAAAATAGACCTACTTCTCCCTAGTGTGAAGGTTTAAATTGTAGTCCCTTGAAGAACTGGCTAAACAAATCACCGCCTTCATTATACGTTAATGTTCCTGTCCAGCATGAATTCTTCAGTATTTCCTGAGGTAAAGACATTGACACATTTATATGGTTTCCGTGTTATGTGAATTCTTTCTAGACCACAAAGCACAAAGTTGTACATTTTGTTTTCTTATCACTGGAAGTCTGTACCTCCTAACTCCATTGACCTATTTTTATCCCCTCCCCAATTTGTACATTTTTTATAACCCAGATCACACCTATTTTATTTGTAAGGTTTTTCTCTCTAGTAGAAATTACATTCCACAACTTAAAATAAGCTTTGGATAAGCCCTGCCATACATTCCTTCAGTGTTCTTCCTTTCAGAGGCTTCTATTCTCCTATCAGGTGAGTTGTGAACCCTGGTTACAAGATTTCCCACTTATGTTAGTTCCATATGGTTCCTCTCCATGATGGAATCTCTGATGCTGAGCAAGTGTTGAACCCTTGCTCATTTGTTTTTTTCTCCTATGAATTCTTTGATGCTCCCCAAAGCTTGAGCTTTGAATAAAAGCACTGCCACACATATTAGGTTCACATTGAGTAAGATGTGAATGCTCCATAAAGGCTTTTCCACACTAAATACATTTGTACAGTTTCTCTCTAGTATGAGATCTCTCATGACACCAAAGGTGAGAATGTTTGATAAAAGCCTCATTACACATATTACATTTGTAAGGTTTTTCTGCTGTATGAATTCTCTGATGTGCCATAAGACTTGAACAATGGATAAAAGCCTTGTTATACACATTACATTTGTGTGGTTTCTGCCCAGTGTGTATTTTCCGAGGCCCAGTAAGGTTTCCAAATTGGGTAAACGTTTTGCCACACTCATTACATCTGTTAAGGTTTCTCTCTAGTATGGATTTTTCTGTTAACATGTGAGCATTCAGCAAAGGTTTTGCCACACTCACTACATCTGTAAAGTTTCTCTCCAGTAGAAGTACTCTCATGACTACAAAGGTCTCAATGTGTGCTAAAAGCTTTATCACATTTAGTACATTTACAAGGTTTTTCTCCTGTACGGATTCTCTGAGGTGCCAAAGGCCTGACATTTGGATAAAAGCCTTGTTACACACATCACATTTGGGTGGTTGCTAGCCAGTGTGTATTTTCTGATGATTAGTAAGTTTTCCAAGTCGGGTAAACGCTTTGCCACACTCATTGCATTTGTAAGGTTTGTCGCCAGTATGAATTCTCTTATGACACCAAAGGTGTGAAAATTGGTTAAAAGCCCTGCCACATTCATTACACTTGTAAGGTTTCTCACCAGTATGGATTCTCTTATGCTGAATAAGATGTGAACTCCTCCAAAAGGCCTTGCCACAGTCAATACATTTGTAAGGTTTCTCACCAGTATGAGTCCTCTCATGACGCAAAAGTTCTGAATGGTTGACAAAAGCCTTACTACATTTCTTACATCTATAAGGTCTTTCTCCTGTGTGAATTCTCTGATGTGCCACAAGGTATGACCTTTGGATAAAAGCCTTGTCACACACATTACATTTGTGTGGTTTTTCCCCAGTGTGTATTTTCTGATGCATAGTGAGATTTCCAAATTGTGTAAATGATTTGCCACACTCTTTACATTTGTAAGGTTTCTCTCCAGTATGCATTCTCTGATGATTTGCCAGGTTTGAATTTTGACTATAGGATTTGCCACTTACGAAACACTTATACACTTTCTCTCCTGTATGGACTCTCTGATGTGTAGTGAGTTTTGAACGCTGGGTAAAGGCTTTGCCACACTCATGACATATGTAAGGTTTGTCACCAGTATGAATTTTCTCATGACGCCTAAGGTGTGAAGATTGGATAAAAGCCCTACCACATTCATTACATTTATATGGTTTCTGTCCTGTATGGACTCTCTGATGTTTAGTGAGTCTTGAAGCCTGGGTAAAGGCTTTGCCACACTCATTACATTTGTAAGGTTTGTCGCCAGTATGAATTTTCTCATGACACCAAAGGTGTGAAAATTGGTTAAAAGCCCTGCCACATTCATTACACTTGTAAGGTTTCTCTCCAGTATGGATTCTCTTATGCTGAGTAAGGTGTGAACTCCTCAAAAAGGCCTTGCCACAATCAATACATTTGTAACGTTTCTCACCGGTATGAGTTCTCTCATGACGCAAACGTGCTGAATGTTTGATAAAAGCCTTATCACATTTAGTACATTTATAATGTTTTTCTCCTGTATGAATTACCTGATGTGCCTTAAGTCTTGACCTTTGGATAAAAGCCTTGTTACACAAGTTACATTTGTGCTGTTTCTCCCCAGCAGGTATTTTCTGATGACTACTAAGGTTGCCAAATTGGGTAAACGCTTTGGCACACTCATTACCTTTGTAAGGTTTCTCACCGGTATGGATTTTCTTATCTTGAGTAAAGCTTGAACACTCAACAAACACTTTGCTACATGCATTACATTTGTAAAGTCTCTGTGCAGAAAGAATACCCTCATGATTCATGAGGTTTGAGCTCTTGCTAAAATCCTTCCCACATTCATTACATTTATAAGATTTTCCTCTGGTGTATCCTCTCCTGGCTTGGGCAGGTAACAAATGATAAATCTTCCTAGATTTATTCCAAATGTTTTGGGTCCTGGGAGGAATTCTTTCAAGTGGTGAGACTGAGGAACCATTGCTGACAGACTTCTCAGTTGGATTACTACATTCATACGTTTCCTCCTCACTGTCAAATCTCTGGAGTTCACCCAGGTGTGCCTGCAAACTTAATCCAATTCTATTTTCCAAGCAGTTTATATACTGGTTTCCAGAACCACTTACGTTACTGTCCTGTTGTAACAAAGTCCTGATGAATGGTTCATTATTCATGACATACTGGTATGTATTTTTTCTCACAGAAACACTCTGCTTTTCAGGAAGAGTAACTGAGGGCTGATTAAGTGGCTGATCTTTCCTACAAGTGAGATTTTTGTTATGAGTCAAAGGCACTTCTTTGTAATTTCTTGCATCATCTCTCCACCGATTTTCAAACTCATGCCTATTTTCCCAGACTTCCTTGAGATCAAAATTCTTGATGCCATGGCTTTCATTTCTCTCCAATATCACTAAGTGGTAAAATTTTCCTTTATAAATGTCCTCTACTGGTGACAATTCCTTGAGTGCAAATCCAGGAGAAAGGCTTCCTATCAAATAGAGTTGGAAGATAAATATTTTATACTAAATTACATAATCACATACCTAAATAACACTTTATTATAAACAAAGGATGTTAACCAACCATGGTCTTCAAACACTACTGTCATATACAATGTTTTTGAGTTCTCTTTTTATAACGTTTTCCATAGTAACAATTTCTCTGATTTTGAGGTAATTTTTCGAAACACATTTTACACTATCCATATTTTTTGGACACATAACTGGATAATTAAATGAAACTTCATGATTACTGACCCCATTTATACAATGGCTATTTTATAACTGTGCATGAAATTATAGAGTTGTCTCTCTTCCTTAATTCTTAATCTTTATAAAAACGTGTTTACCTGAACCCAATATCTCATAATTCAGTGATGCTCAATGACTCTTTCATTCCTTCTAGTAGGAGTTCCTTATGGAATGTAAATCCTGTCTTTACATCTCCAAGACAAACTGCTTTAGAATTCCAGAGACTACTAGTTTGTGTAACTATGGTTACTTATTAACTTAACCCCCTAGATCAATCAACATGTAGGTTGTAACATACAGAGTCCTTAAAATATCTTGTTTCTTTCATCATATGCTCACACATTAGTAAACACACAGTATAATTAACTGCCAGATCAAGCTGCTATCCTGAGCAATTCATACACATGTCCCCTGTGTATGAATAGGGTTCCTTCTGCAGTACGGAGGGCAGGGGAGTCAGGTGCTGTGTAAACTGAGGTGCTTTGTTGATCAAAATTAATATACCAGGATATACAAGGGTGGTTTGTTTAGCTCAATGAAACATCTGAGGAAAGGCCAGGACTTGGATTCAGAAAAGCAAGAGTGAAGCATTAAGAAGTAACTGACCATGGGGGACAGTGCTTGTGCTTGCACATTTATGGGAATATGATTGTGGTGTAAATTAAAAGCAGGACCTTGGGGAAAAAGAAAACACATTCAGCAAAAGGCATAATACTGATGCATTCTGTAAGAACTCATACTATGGGCATGAAGCAAAGGTGGAAAACATTCAACAGGGAAACAGTAGAGGGTTATAGGAAAACTGTACAGTTATATCTAAGTTATATCTAATTGAATATTTGCTCTAAAAATTATCAAACTAAATATACCAAGACTTCGCTTCTAGGTATATACTCAAGACAATTATATAATGTATACATGTTACAGGAGACACGTTTTTAAGGTTGTTACTTATAAAGAGAGATACTGAGAACAAGCTTGTGAATGGGGGAGAGGCAGGGAGAGAGAGATTCCCCAGAAGTCTCCACACTGTAAGCGCACTGCCCAATGTGGGACTTGAACTCACTAACTGTAATTTCATGACCTAGGCCAAAAAAAGAGTCAGATGCTTAACTGACTGAGCCACCCAAGCCCCAAAATAATATATCATTATAGAAAAAGCTACAGCAAATCAGGTTAATGATACTGCTGGGACTAAAGCAGGAACTTTAAAAAATATGTTTCTAAGATATCACAAATTCTTAATTTAAAGAATGCCATAGGATCAGCTGCGGGGCTAAGCTGGTTAAGTGTCTGTCATCAACTCAGGTCATGAACACAGAGTTAGGACTTCAAAGCCTGTGACACGCTCTGTGCTGAAAGCTCAGAGCCTGGAGCCTGCTTTGGATTCTGTGTGTCTCTCTCTCCGCCTCTATACTGCTCATGCTCGCTCCCTTGCTGCCTCTCTTTCTCTCTCTCAAAATAAATAAACATTAAAGAAAAGTGGTAACTTTAATCAAGGAAAATATGTGTTGTAACAATTAGATATCACTGCACATTTATGAGAATGGCCAAAATCCACAAAACCAACACCAAATCCTAGTGAGAATGTGCAACTATAAGAACTCTCATTCATTGCTGGTGGAAATGCAAAATGGTACTCCCCTTTGGAGAAGTTTGCACTTTCTTACAAAACTAAATGTACTCTTAAATATGACCTAACATTCCCACTCCTTGGTATTCATTCAAAAAAGTGGAATATTTCTGTCCACATGAAAACATATCCGCAAAAGGGAAAAATCCTAAAATTTCTATGGAGCCGCTAAATTCCCGAATCGCCAAAGCATCTTGACAAAGAAGTACACGTTGGAGGCATCATGTTCCCTGATTTCAAACTCCCGGACTACAAAGCTATAGTCATTAAAACAGTATGGTATTAGCATAAAAATACACACATAGATCAACAGAACAGAATAGAGACCAGAAATAAACCCACACACATGCTCACTTAATTTACAACAAAGGAGACATGACTATAAAATGGGGGAAAGTATATTCTCTTCAATCAATGGTTTGGGAAAAAGGGACAGCCAGAGGCAAAAGCATGAAACTGGACCACTATCTGACACCATACACAAAAATTAACTCAGAATGGATTAAAGACTTAAACCTAAGACCTGAAACCATAAAACTCCTATTAAGAAAAGTTAGGGGTGGAGGGCCGGGGTGGCTCAGCTGGATAAGCTTCTTACGTTGGATGAGGTCATGATATCACGGCTTGTGAGTTCGAGCCCCATGTTGGGCTCTGTGCGGACAGCTCAGAGCCTGGAGCCTCTTAAGATCCTGTGTCTTTCTCCCTCTGCCCTTCCCCACTCAACACTCTGCCTCTCTCTGTCTCTCAAAAATAAAATTTAAAAAAAATTGAAAAAAAAAAAAAAAAGAAAGAAAAGTTAGGGGGTAATGAGCTCCTTGACACATGTGTGGGCAATGATTTTATTTTTAACTCTCCACACCAAAAAGGAAAAACAAGAAAAGTAAAAAAGGTGGGATTATATCAAACTGAAACGTGTTTACACAGCAAAGGAAACAGTTTTTGAACAAAATGAAAAGGCATCCTACTGAATAGGAGAAACTATTAGCAAATCATGCATCTGATAATGGACTGGTAATCTAAAACATTACCAAAACATGCTCAAATAACCCGATTTAAGAAATGGGCACAACATCTGAATAGACATTTTCCAAAGACTTAGAGATGGCCAACAGGACCATGAAAAGGTGCTCAATATCATTCATCATCAGGGAAATGCAAATCAAAACCACAATATCGCTTCACACCTAACATTAGAATGGCAGTTAGTAAAAAGACAAGAAACAACACGTGTTGTCAACGGGTGGAGAATGGTGTAGCCAAGAGAACTACTGTGTGATCCACCAATTCTACTGGGTATTTATCTGAAGACAACAAAAATACTAACTCGAAAAGACAGAAGCGTTCTGATGTTCACTGCAGCACTATGTATAATAGCTGAGATACGAACACAATCTAAGTGTCCGTTGATGGGTGAATGGATAAAGATGTGTATATACAACACAATATTATCTAGCCACTAAGCAGAATACAATCTTGCCATTTGTGACAACAGAGATGGACCCTGAGGACAATATGCTATGTGGAATGAGTCAAAGACCACTGCAGTATGATTGCTCCTATGTGTGCAATCTTAAAGAAACAAAAACCCATTAGATACAGAGAACATATTGGTGGTTGCTACATGCAGGTAGCTGAGCAGAAAAGGGTGAAGGTGATCAAAAGGTTAATAAACAAAAAAGAGGGCTGCCTGGCTGGCTCAGTCAGTACACCATGCAACCTTTGACTTTGCAGTTGAGTTCAAACCCCACTCTGGTTGTAGAGATTACTTAAAATCAAAAGTTGCTGCTGCCTCTTGAGTTCTTAAAACAAACAAACAAACAAAACCAAAAAATATCAATATGGTGCTTTTGGTATACCAGGAATGCAATAACCATCTGTGGAATGATACATGTTTTTCCTACAGAAAAGCTAACTAGGTATCACCAAGCTGAGCTGTATTTACACTACATCTACTTTTGGATTTTCACTTTTTGGAATTATCCACATCATGACTTCCTCCTAATTAATGCACAAGGGAGCAACCTTCAGAAGCCAGGATGGCCGAGGAAAGACATAGACTTTTATCTACTTTATTAGACAGATGGTACAATTTTTGTGTCTCCTAAGAAGTTCTCCCCAGAATACAAAATGGAAATGGAAAGTGAATAGGTCCTGGGGTTTGCACTACAGAGACCTCACCTCCGACCTGTACGGAATGAGAACCAAGAGGGATCAGGGAAAAGACTCCTTAGGGACAGCCATCTCAGTCCCTCTCAAGCCACAGCACCAGTATGGTCGGAGGGGCTAGGTAACAGTGTTGTAGGTATTATCACTGGAAGTTTAAACTTCTACACATCTGATTTACTCGTTTGAATAACAGAATGAGAAGTGTGTGTGGGGTGGGGGAGGATTTCCTTTGAAAGCTCCTAAGAAATAAACTTGTATTTTCCCATAGATCCTTCCCAAACACTATTTACTGGAGCAATTTACTCTCTGCCCTTCTGAGCGGACTTGAGCTCACATTCCAATACATTCACATCCCCTGTCTGGATGTTTCCCTATCCTCACTTCATGTTCCACAGTCCAGGGCTCTTTCTCTTCTTCCAAAACCAAGATGATATTCAGCTCAAGAAGAGATTTCCGTTCATAAAGAAAAACAGAACATGATCTCCTCTGCTCTTCCAGAACACGTTTCCAGCTCTTGGTTCACCAAACAAGAAAGAACATTCATTTTGCTTGGTGTAGAAACCATGTATTTCAAAAATTACTCAAATGAGTGCCTGAGGGCTTAAGGATTATTTTAGGTGTGCAGACATCTGGGTTTTTTCTAAGAACTACTCAACCAACACCCTTACGAGGGTAAGACCACAGAATCAGAGATTTAAATAAATTCACCACGAGGTTTCCTTTTCCCCCCAACTTTAAATAACGTTATTGTCTCTGAGCTTCATCTTTAAAGATTTCAGCGAAATTAGACTTTGCTAAGAATATAAGCGTTTTTATATCCTATTCCCCAGACTCCCAGATTGTTATTTAACTTCTAGTTACTTAACAGAGTGTAGTACTGGTTTCAGGAGTAGAATTTAGTGATTCATCAGTTACATACATACAACGACCAGGGCTCCT